CGTTCAGCATCTGCCATGGCGTACAGCCCCTTTTTTGCAGAAATAAGTCGCGAATTGAGATAGAAATAGAGAGGAGAAAAGGGAGAAAATGAAGAGGCGTGCCAAGCTCTGCTAGGGTTTATTCTTGGACAACATTGAGAGTGTTTTGGAAGCTACAAACACTCAAGGTAAGTATCATGCCTCTTAATCTCTCATTTTCTTTCACATTATGAAGTTTATGGTTAAAGTTTGATAGTGGAAGATAATTTTCGATCCATATAGGTTATGGGTCCAAATGTATTGACTCAAATGGAGTTAATGGGAGTAGATTGCAATATCTAAACTTAGATACAATGAATTTTGGTATCTTGGGTTGTTGGGCTTCATAAATATGTGAAATTTTGCATTAATGTGGGTTGTTGGAAGAGTGTGATGTCATTAATGGGAGTTTAATGACTCATTAATGTTAATAAGGACTAAAGATAATTAATAAACCCAATAGATAGGTTCAAACTCATGTAAAGTGGGCATTGGACAATTTAAAAGTAGAGAAATGAGAGTTGAATGCTTGAGTTTGGCAATATTAATAGAGATTAACTTTGTAAATGTAATTGAGCTCTTAAACACCTATTTGGCTTGGGAATTCAAGCTTGGAAGCTATTATATTAAGAGATAAACATTTGACCTTTGAAAGGTTTGAGGTAATCGAGAGAACCCTACTTTAAGTAGTCTGTCAATTGATTGTTTACTGTAGAGTTGTGAACACTATATGCATGAATTGATTTTTAATGTTTGAAAGTATGATGATGCTTAATGTCATATTTGGCTTGAAATATAAAATGCAAAATTAAGATGGTTTTCAAACTATGAATATGTATATGTTTTGGGAAGATAAATGTGATATTTTGTTGAGGTAAATGCATGTTAATAAAAAAATGGATTATTGTGATAAGTAAGGATAATGTTGTGAAATGTTATTGGATGCTCACTTGGGTAGCACATGATTGTGAACCCAACATGTGATTATGATAAACAACAAATGAACATGTGAAGATGAGTTAGCATCGTTTATGGCATGATTAATGGGCGAGAGTTTGCCTAGGATTTGGGAGTGGAGAAAAATTCATATGGTATTTAGACTGCCCTCCAGTGCACGGGGGTATAGCCCTGTCCCACAGTTTGTTAAGAGATTGTCCCATAGTTTGTCAAGAGGCTAAAACCTAGCTTTCTCCACCAGTTCAACAAGGAGAATAGCTTAAAGTATGAGACACTTTAGAGATTCGAGAGTAGGGGAAGCCATGATTTGAGAATGAGTCGTGTGATCTTTGGCCGAGTCACACCTTATGATTGGTGAGCTTGGGTAGTCTAGTCACACGAACAGAGCCCTATTCAGTGTTATAGTCCACGGTTTCAGTTTGAGAAAATAAGGAGAGTATAAGGTTGGTTGATGATTGCCTATGTAAACTTATGATGTGTCACATGTGTTTGAATTATGGCAAGTCGTGTGATAATCGAATCATGGTCACATGTCTAAGTGTCTTGAGATTATGTACCTAACATGTGCGAGATAAATATATGCTAACTGGATTAATAAGTTATGATATGTGTTAAAGCGTGTTTTAAGTATTTGGTTTCATATGCATGTGTTTGATTTACAATTGATATATAACTATATAGGGTAGGTTTTACCTTGGTTACTGAGTGGCTAGACTCACTCCTTTCATTTAACACTTTTCAAACTCTAGCTCTGGTGTTGAGAGAGACAAAGCTATTGAGACCTAAGAATTTGTGTATTCCTTTAGTATGCCTCTTGTATCTATTTATTTTGTGTAATAGAATATGATTGCCAATTCTAGGGTGCATATCATTACATTTGCACTATTTTGTTATTGCAAATGTCTAAATTATATTTTGGGTCCTAAGTATTTGTTTATGAAGATGTGTGTGTGTGTGTGTGTGTGTGTGTGTGTGTGTGTGTGTGTGTGTGTGTGTGTTGATAAGGCTAAAATACTAGTACAAGTATAAAAATGATGTTTTAAACATATTACAATAGTTTTTGATGCAATGCAAGGGAAATTGCCTCCCCTTTCTATTTTTGGTAAAAAGGATTGAGGAGTGATTTTGTGTTAAATTGGTGTTTATGTGCATGTGACATGTTATACTGATAGTCTTAGGTCTCATGAGTATGATCTAGAGTTAGAAATGTCTATTGGCACTTGTAGGTTTTGGACACCCTTTTTGTGTGAAAGTTGTGAAAAATGGTCAAAATGTGTTTGGGTGTCTAACTTCCTGGTGTGACTTGTTTTGAAAGTAAAACCTATACCATTAGCTAGTTTATAAAAAAAGCTTTCCGTAGACACCTAGATCAAGTCATTCGAACGTTGGACAGAGAATCAGGACGCATCAAAAGTTCCCTGATTTTGTTGTTAAATGACAGCAAAATCTACTGTCATTTACACGCAACACACCGCGACACATAATACCTGAGCCACGGCATGTGGCACGTGGCATAGAGAGCAACAAGCTGCAACGCAGCTTGCACAAGCCATGTGGCACAGAGAGCAATAAGCCGCAGCGCAGCTTGCACAAACCGCAGCGCATTGCCCTATTTCACAACAAATGAGTTGTTTTTTTCAATTGTTTTCATTCTTTTTCACTCCTCCAATATATCACATGCTTCCGTAACTTATTTTTACTCTAATATAAGAGATTTTGATTGATTTAAACTCATTTTGATTAAAAAAACTTGGGATCTCTTGAATTTAAACTAAAACTTGGTAATCACCTTTATGTGTTAATTTTTTGATTACCATGTGTTTTATTGATTAATTGTGGTTAGAGAGTGAGATTTTACATTAGCAACTAGCGTTCTAATTTCATCCCACATTTTAAATCAAATATGCATGGGCCTAAAATCAATATATTATCTCATACATATAAATTAAACATAGCAATTACTTTCAAGTATTCATTTGAATAATATAATTCCAGCTATTTTTATACAGTTCATTTATAAAGAAAACATTTTCAAGTATAATAGTTAATAATAAAATTAAACTCATAAACTATTAAGTAAGACTAAATTAAAATATTCTATCATTCGTTCTTGAGGAATCAAAAGAATATATAAATAGAAGAGATTGCACATGAATATGCTCAATCAATATTTTTTGTTTTAAGAATAAATTTGCTAAAAAGTTATTGGGAAGCTATTTACTTACCTTATATATTCTCTACATCCTATAGTTTACTTCTTATCACTTCCTTTCAATATCCTCTTCCTCTACACATCATATATAAATATAAATAAAACTTTAATTAACTTCCCATACATTATATAAATTTCTTTCCACAACTAACACAACCCCAATCGACTAAAACCATTCAAAATTATAAAACACCAAAATTCATACATTAAAAGTTTCTCCAATCATCATTCTTTATCACAAATTTCCTTCATACTACTTTAGTGATAACTAACTGTTTAAATGAGATGATCCTCTCTTAGCTAGACATTTCAACAAGTACCTAATGTGCATCAATTCCTAATTCATTCAATGGAGTTTCTTGACCCTCAATCATTTACCCAGTATTTTCCAGCATCAACGTTTTTATCATACTCTCAAAACCGTATCCCATCAAGAATCAATTAAGCTCAAATAAATTTCAAGTACACTATCTTTATCTTGCTCATTAGACTAAAAAATTTTCAGCTTGCTAAAACCTCCTTCCTTACTCAAATGCACACAACAGAGCAAAGAAAGACCACAATCTCACCGCTTAAGCACACACTAATTGAATGACAACGGCAAAGTTCCTCATATCAGATCAGTCATGACAGAGCAAATGAAAAAGAACTTGGTGATGCATAAAATGGAGGATGAGGAAGAAAAAGGAGCAGATGCGGAACAGAATGGAAGAGGAGGAGAATCCAGCAATAGCGACTTAGCTCCTCCTCGCATACACTCGCCAAAGATCAGAAGAAAAGAAATTATCGACGCAGAGGACGATGCTGAAACGAGGAAGTGAAGTTCTAGCAACGCAAAATGGAGAAGGAAAAGAACCTAACGCACCCACACGATACGGATGGACGAGGAAGATTCTAGCTTACCCATGGCTTCTGGCGATAGAATAGACGAAGGAGAGGAGCTGTGGAGGCAGAACGGTGGTTTGAAGAAGTCTCTCAAAATCTAAAGGCTTGTTTGATTGTTGTTTTCATTTTTTGTTTTGAAAAGTTGTTTTATAAAGCAATTTTAAAAACTGGTTTTGAGAACAAATAAAGAAAAACTTGTTTGGTAATAATAATCTAAAAATAATTTTATAAATTTATAAGATGGATGATGCTTTTTTATCGGGACAAAAATACAATATTTGTCATTAATAAGAACAATTCTCATTTCTTGTTTCACACTTTTTTCTATTAAAAAAAAAGAACAGAAACAGTTAATAATTGTTTTGGTTTTCTTGTGTTTAAAAACAAAATTAAAAACTGTTTTCAAAACAAAAATTAAAAAATCATTAACCAAACAATTTTTTTATTTTAAAATATTAAAATAAAAAAACCGTTTTTAAAAATAATAAACAAATTGACTCTAAATTACTCATTTCCTCTTTCTCGACTAAAGATTACACCAACATAAAAAAAATGAAGATGTAAATAAATCTTGTTCTTTTTTAAGTTAAAGGGGGTAAGTACTAACGGCTTGAGATTACAAGTAAGATCGAACCCACGACCTTCCACTTATAAAGGAGTTTCCATGCCACAAGGCTATAAGGCCATTGGCAAATGTAAATAAATCTGATGTGGTGATTGTTTTGTTTATTTTTTTGGGGCAAAATGATAATTTCCAAAGGCAAAGATTAAAAAATATAGACCCCTTTGTGCGCACTAAAAGGTTTTGAACTTAGGACTAGACAAGTACCAAGAGAAACACCACTAAGCCACTAATATATTTTATTAAACCTATTCAAAAATATATATAAATACAATCAAAATAACTTATCATTATTTTGAATTTAAAAAAAAAATTCCTACATTGTTACATTTCTAGTACATTCAACCTCCAAAGCATTTTCCAGATGTTCTCCATTGCTTATCCATTACCTGCAAGAATAAAGTGATAGGCAGATTTAACAGGTGGCTTCCACAAAAACATATCTTCACCTCTCTCCTCACAGGAGGGTGTGCACAAGTTATTCAATCCACAACAGTAGGTTCAAACCACTGTCTCAATCTCTCCTTATCCCATTCTCCCCAAGGTGTCATGTAATCACAAACTTTCTCATGAGATTGAATGAATCCCTCTATTCTGGGGTTGCAATCAGCAAGCAGAACTTGCATTTCAGACCAATCCTCAAACCAAAACGAAGTAGACTTCCCATTTCCAACCTTCTTTCTAAGATCCAGCTTGAAATTATTCCATATAGTACATATCCCTCACCAAGTATAGGAAGAATTCCGTCTCTTGGTCACCACAGGGATAGAATCATTATCGCACCCATAATTGCTTTTGGAAGTCTTCCACTAATAGATTTTCGTCAAGTAAATTAAGTAGTGGAGAAGACTTCCAAAGTTGACTAGCTAATCCTTAATTAATTGGCCTAGCAAATTAAGATGTGAGTATGTGACGCTTGCTTCTTTTAATCACTTGGCCAAAATGAGTTGAACCGATTCATTTATTTAATTTAGTGGGTATTTAGTCCAATTTAATAATTTCCACGAGACTTCTTCCAAGCACTGGGACCCTACAAGTTTTGGGAGGGCCAAGTCCTCACTCTTGTCTCTGACTTGGTCCACTTCTTTCTGACACTTCTATCCTCATCCTCCAACTTGCTTCCCTTCCTTGTCGGCAACCACCCTCAAGTTTTTAAGCCAAGTCTTAATGAGATCCACCACGAAGCTGAAAGTCTTGCGAATAATAAATTGTATTCACACACACACACTTTGTTATTATTTATTATAATAAATTATTTTTCAGTCCTCATGATTCTGCTCTATGATGAATATAAAGCTAACACCACATGTCCATTTTTTTTTAGTATGTGTGTTCCTTCTACAGACTGGTTTACCACAGCCAAAATGATTCCCAACATTTTCATCATCAACATTTTGCTTTGCCTAGCTTCTCATCAACCTGCGTTGCCAACTAGAGCTGCCCTGGCCACTAGGTTAGACTCAGAAACTGATAAGCTTGCCTTGCTTGCTTTGAAGGATAAGCTCACCAATGGCCTCCCAAAAGCTTTGCCTTCATGGAATGATTCTATTCACTTTTGTAAGTGGCAAGGAGTTTATTGCAATCGCCGTCACATGAGAGTCTTTGCTTTGGACTTAGCAAATCAAACTTTGGGTGGGACTCTGGCACCAAGTTTAGGTAACTTAACCTTTCTTAAATTTCTTCGTCTTTCTCGTAATGGATTGCACGGTCAAATTCCCAAACAAATTGGCCATCTGAAACGATTGCAGCATCTCAACTTGGAGGGTAATTTTCTCATGGGAAAGGCTCCTGAAGAGTTGGGAAACTGTTCTAAACTCCAAAAGATTTTCTTCCACAAAAATAATTTGACTGGGGAAATTCCCTCATCATTTGGTTCTATGCATCAACTTAATCTGTTAGCTCTTGGCGATAATAAATTTCTTGGTTCTATTCCACCTACTTTGGGAAACCTTTCGTCATTGGAGGGCTTGTATCTCGCAGAAAATAATTTGGAGGGAAGTATACCTCAATCTCTAGGTGGGTTGTCAAATTTGAAAGGGCTCTATCTTGGTGAAAACAATTTTTCTGGTATAATCCCATCTTCACTTTATAATCTTTCTAGCTTAACATATTTTGACATTCCTTACAACCACTTGTCTGGAACCATTCCATCAAGTATAGACCTTGCTTTCCCTAATCTACAATATATTAATGTTGAATACAACTTTTTGACTGGAACAATTCCATCTTCATTATCCAACATGTCCCAATTGCAACTATTTGATATAGCCCATAATGATTTTAGTGGCTTACTCCCTACCACTTTGGGCAGATTGCAGAACCTGCGTAAGTTCTTTATTCATCAAAACAATTTTGGAAGAGGAGATGGTCATGATTTTGATTTCCTCTCATCATTAACAAATTGTAGTCAGTTGTATTTGTTGGACATTGAAGATAGTGGATTAGGTGGCATTTTGCCAAATTCAATTGGGAATTTCTCTTCCGGCCATATTGGTATACTTGCTATGGGAATGAACCACATCTCTGGAAGCATACCTCATGAAATTGGGCAATTGACTAGCTTAATTTACCTTGATTTGGAAGAAAACTTCCTTCAAGGCAGTCTTCCACATTCATTTGGAAAGCTTGAGAATATTGGAAAAATATTATTGCGTGAAAACCAATTATCAGGAAAAATTCCTGATGTTTTTGGAAATCTTACCAAGTTGTATTTTCTTGATTTGTTGCATAATAACTTTGAGGGAACCATACCAGTTAGCCTCAAATTTTGTAAGGGTATGCAAATCCTATTCCTAAATCAAAATAATTTGACTGGCTATATACCAAATGAAACATTTGAACATCAAGAAGGCTTAATATTTCTGGACATGTCATCCAATTCCTTGACTGGTCCACTTCCATCTGGGTTTGGTAGCTTGAAGCATCTGGTGGAATTGCATGTTGATGAAAACAAGTTTTCCGGTGATATTCCAATGGAACTTGAGGGATGCCTAGGACTGTCAATTCTTAATATGAGTGGAAACTTCTTCGAAGGAAGTATTCCCTCATCCTTTGGTTCATTAAAATCTCTCCAAAGCTTAGATCTTTCCAAAAATAACTTGTCAGGTGCAATCCCGCATCAACTAAAAGATCTTCCGAAATTGACAACCTTAAACCTATCTTATAATCAGTTTCAAGGTGAGGTTCCAAAAGGAGGAGTGTTTGATAATATCACTGCTATTTCACTCACAGGAAATGAGGATCTTTGTGGTGGAATACCTCAACTTAAGCTGCCAACATGCCCAAGAAAGCAAAAGAAGCATTTCAAAATCACAATCATCATGACTATGATAAGTTGTGCTCTTGCTATCTTGGCAATTTTCCTCATTATTTATATGAGGAGAAAGCAAAAAAAGTTGGTATCGTCCCCATCTCCTCAAAATACTCATTTGAGGGTTTCTTATAGGGAGTTATATAGTGCAACAAATGGATTCTCTTCATCCAATTTGATTGGCACAGGAAGCTTTGGTTCAGTATACAAAGGAACTCTTCACCACTTTGAAATACCTATAGCTATAAAGGTGCTAAATCTTCAAACACATGGGGCAACAAAGAGTTTCATTGTAGAATGCAAAACTCTTGGCAAAGTGCGGCATAGGAATCTTTTGAAGATTTTGACTTCATGTTCAAGTGTTGATTACAAAGGCAATGACTTTAAGGCCATTGTTTTTGAGTTCATGCCTAATGGGAGCTTGGAGAATTGGTTGTCAGCAAAAGAACTTAGTGAACCTAGAAACTTATATATGAATTTCACACAAAGATTGGATATAGCTATTGATGTGGCTCATGCTTTGGATTATCTTCATAATGATTTTGAAGAGACTATTGTTCATTGCGACATCAAGCCAAGCAATGTTCTTCTTGGTGCTGATATGGTTGCACACTTGGGAGACTTTGGATTAGCTAGGCTTCTTCATGAGATTACAAGCTATTCTGGTGAAGGTCAAACTTCATCCTTTGCAGCAATTAAAGGTACTATTGGGTATATTCCTCCAGGTAAGACTCATCTTTTTATGTTGTTGATTCTATTTTTAGCAATTACTTTCTTTAAAAGAAACTAAAAAATTTGTATCACAGTAAAAATTATTATGGAAAGAGGTCACCCTAAGAATAACCTTGAGTATTTATGGGTTTTCTTAACGTTCTAAAGAATTAATGTTTGGTTAGAGTATGGAGAAAGTGGCCGAGTTACAGTACAAGGAGATATTTACAGCTATGGGGTTCTCATGCTAGAGTTGCTCACTAGAAAGAAACCAACAGATGGCATGTTTAGTGGTGATCTAAGCCTACCCAAATTTTGCAAGTTGGCATTGCCAGAACGAATCTTTGAGATGGTGGATTCAAGTTTTCTTGTTCGATTCCATAAAGATCATAGGAAGGTTATGCAGAATTCAGACGTGGAGCATAAAATTCAAGAGTGCCTAGTTAGCTTTGCCAGGATTGGAGTGGCATGTTGTGCAGAATTGCCTTTTGAACGGATGGGCATTAAAGATGTTTTATCAGAGTTACTTGCAATTAAGAAGAAGCTATCCACTTTCAACATTGTCATATGAATTAGTTGCATGACTCTTATGAATAAGGGTTTTTCTTTATATGGAGTTGGCATGTTTAGCGTTTGTAAACAATAGCTAGCTTTAGAATGTAACTCTCGGTGTGTGTGTGTAAATACGTTCGTATGTACGCATTTCTACTGTGTAAAAATTGATTCATTATATAATCTTATTTAATTTAAAGGTTGTTTTACAACAAAATCCCATGAACATACACTATTATATAAAAACATCTTATATGGTAGCCACCAAGCTCTCGATGGCATCGAATTTACGACGATCAAGCAGTTCAAAAATGTTCTAAATCCATGACAAAGAAGACAGCCTAAGGTTGAGATCTATTACATGGAATTGGAGGCCTAATGCAATGATAGAGCTCAAAGTGGACTAACCGTCAAAGTGATATGCGTGATTCATTGCGGAATCTCAAATCCAATAACTAGCTAGTTAAGTGCGTACTTTGATACAATTTTTTAGGGCTTATATATATATATATATATCAACATGATCGTGGCCTCTGATACAATTATGCACTTTGAGGGGGGGAGCCCATAATCATGCATATTTAGAAATTGGAATGGGAGTGAGTGACATAGAATGTGCGTACAAAACATACATTTGAGCCTTAATTCAAGAAAAAAATTTCTAGTTTTAAAATGTAATTATATTTATACTAAAATTATAATATCCTTAACAGTTTTCATATTAACACAAGTTTCAATATTTTTTTAAAAGTTTTGATAAAATCACCTCTCTAAATAGGGCCTCCCCAAAAACTTTACAACACAATATTTAAATAAAATAAGATAACAATCAGGAGCTCATCTCCTTCCAGCCAACAGATAAAGTATATAGCCAAAATAAAGACCCTAACTATGCGGAACACCTAATCACTTTTTAAAACATAATACATAAATTTTATAATTATGTCAAAAAGAGATATTTACAAAACAAATCTCCACCAACTATGACCTATGCGGAGCACCTAATCACTTTCAAAATATAGTAAATAAATTTTATAATTATGTCAAAAAGAGATATTTACAAAATAAATCTCCACTCAATTGAGCAAAAAGTCCATCAATGGTAAGAAGGATGTACCATATCAGCTGCACTATGTAAGAGCAAATCAAATACTTTCCAGTGAATAACATCCCAAAAATAATATTTAAAAGAATAAAAATAAATAATTTGCAACAGTTACGAAAATTAAAGAAAAAGTAATTCCATATAATTAAATTAGTAGACTTAGAATAAATATATATAATTTATAGATAATTAAAAAAAGAAGATCAAATTCAACTCTCCAAGTTACAATCTCAGTCTGAGATAGAGTTATATAATTAACCTTCCAAAATCATGTACAATCAAATAATAGTTTGTTTAATAAAATAAATTTAAAATAATAAATTTTCAAAAATTCACATTTTAACGGAGACTTTATCAGAAAGATTAACAAATGTGGACAAAGAGTTTATAGGAATAAATAACCAACAAGCATAAACACACAGTCCACGAGGGTAAGTAACTAACAAATATGGCTCGAAGTCACAAAACAAGCACGGTAGGAGGTCACAAATAACAAGCATAGCAAGAAGCCACTAAACAAGCACGGTAAGAAGCCACGAAACAAGCACTACTTTTAACAAGACTAACAGAATACCAAGCTAACAAGGATTTAACCATAGCATGCCAAGGACTAACAGGACTACTATTAACAACCAACTTTCTGACTGAATCCCACATTTTACATCAAGCATACATGAGTCTAAAATCAACATATTATCCCTTTTCAAAATTATTCATCAAACCCAACATAAATGAATGCATCTGTATATAAATCACATGCATGAATCATAATAATTAATCATCCCTTTTATGTAAACCAAACATTATCAAATATAACAAGCGCTTTCAAATATTCATTTGAAAAATTATAGTTACAACTCTTTTTATAAAACCTATTATAATGAAGACATTTCTAAGTACAATAGCCAGCAATAAAAATGAAAATCATAAACCGTTAAGGAAGAATAAATAAAAATACTCTACCGTTTGTCTTGAGAAATTTTAAAACAAAATTATATAAATAGAGAAGGTGGCCTGTGAATAGGCTCAATTAATATTTTAAAAAAATGAATTTGCTAACAAATCATTGGGACGTTATTCAGTTATTTGCCATGCTCCCAAATCTAAAAATGTACTTCTTTCAACTCTTATAAAGTTTCTCTTCTTCTCAACAGCCTATATAAATATATATATATATATAAATTAATTAATGGCCTTAACTTCAATCAAATAAATTCCTTTCCAAAATTAACTCAAACCATTATATAATTAACTATATTAATTTTGGAGCTTTAAAGCGATAATCTACACATAAAGATTTCTCCCTAATATTTAGTCATAATTAACTACTTGATTAGAATACAGTTTCCTCCTAGGCCTTTTTACTTTTTATTTTTTACAAACACCTTGAGTGTACCAATGTTCAAACAATTCCCAAACCTCTTGCTCTTTAAATTCCCTGTCAAAAGGTTTTCCTAAAACAATATTTGAACTAATTAAACTTCCAACTTCCACTAAAGAGAATAATTATCTCCTAATAATTGTTTAATTAACCATAATATATTCTTCACATGTATCTTACCATTATGTGTTCAAACTCACACTTAGACATTTTATCGAATACCTTAGATGCATTCAGAAACCAAATCACAAAACAATATTTTGGTTTACAAATTATCAACCATATATACAACTCAAAATTCAACCAATCGCACACAAAGGCTTGATAATCAAATTTCTTCACAATACTCATTTTAATTTCACAAATAATAGCACCCACGCTAGTTATGTTTCTCAAGATATTTAATGATATTTTAAAAAATATATAATCAAGTAAAACTCTTCTTACAGTCATCTTATCAAACACCTTGCAAGCATTAATACCCAATCATTATACCAAGCTTTTTTTTTTTTTATAATTCAATTTTCCTTTCCAAAAATTTTGATTACCAATATTTACACTATCCAGGCTTCCCAATCTCATTCCTTCTACACAAACCAATTAAACTCAAAGAAAATTAAATTTAATGCCTTCTGCCAACAGTAATTCAATATATATGTATATGTGTGTGAAATTATCTACTAATAATATACTCCTAAATTTAAGTTTTAGCTTAATCGAACCCCAATTACTTCCCCAATCATGCACAACAACAAACAAGAAAGAAACACTTAAAACTTCAACCATTTATCACCTATGACCTATGCACAAACAAATAGACCAAGCAAGGGGAACGAGAGGTGAGATTAACTCACCAATAGAACAATGATAGAAGAATAGAAAAGGTTTGATGCTTCCCACAGCCACACACAACCCGATGGCAACGTTTGAACCAGTGAGAAACAGAGGAACAGCGTCACAGGGGAAATGGGAGGACCAGCAAATCGGACCTCCAACCACGACAGAAATCATTCCCACTGCACGATATTGAAGCACTTAGAACGAAACTAACAGAGGTGAAGGAAGAACAACCGAGAGACTGACAAAGCCTCCATGGCAGCGAACACCAGCGACGCAAAGCAGGGGAAAATGATGAACTCCAACGTTCCTACACAGCAGCACAGCGGAGGAGGGGAAGGAAGGCTCCTCATTCACAGTCGCCGGCGTCGGTCAAAAAGCGAGGACGGAGAAAGGGGAAAAATCTGAGCTCTCTCTCGATGGATCTGGAGAAACCGAACAACAGAGAAGAATGACGAATGTGCGTGTTTTATTTCAGATTTCCTTTCCTTTCTTTTTTTTGTTTTACAAGGGTATAACAGCAATTTTGCGATAGGCAGAAGCAAAAAGAAAAGGAAAAACAAACAAAAAAATTGCATCCCAAGAAATTGCGATCACATAATCTAATAATTAAACACTACAAAAAATTTCACTGAGCTACTAATACACTTATTCAACTACTCCAAAATATAATGGGAGAGGAGTCTCTCCCATCATTTTCTTTTCTTTTACCTCGTCCTCTCAATCTCCATTATTAATTTTATTTTATTAAATAAATTTATTATAATTACAAATTTAATGACGGGTGAGAGGATTGAGAAGAAGGGGAAAATGAGAGAAAATAAAGGGCCAGATACCTCTCCCAAATATAATATATGTAATTAAAATTCCTTATCAAAAAATTTAATTTTACTTACATTTTTGTATCGTTACAAGGTAGCCCGAAGGACTTTAGCAACAAATTGGGAAATAACATTAATACACCTTTGGAAGCAAATGCTTGTCACCATACTTTACAATAGTAATTAATTTTTTATAAAGTGAAAATGTAGGGGAAATAATATTGTAAATTTTTACCCTTCAACTAGCTCTGGTCTCCTAAGCTATTATTAATTGACTCAAAAAATAGGTCAAAAGTTACTAAAAAGGACTTGTAAAATTACAAATATATATCTTATAAAAATATTAATACTAATTAGGCCCTAAAATAATGTGATAATTTATAAGCTCTCCAAAAAAAAATTTACATGTAGGGGAAAAAATGCATTCATTTATAAATCACATATACACTAGTTAAGCTATAAATTTCTAGAGAATTTGTAAGTCTCAAAAATTAACTTTCAAATTATTTGTGAAGACTTGTAAATAATAATAATATTTAAATAAAATATTATTAAAAAACATAATATTTTTAATTATTTATTGGTATTATTGTTTGTAATGCGATCCGTTAATCACCCAATAGCTATAAGATCACCACTTATCATGATGATGAGGATTATGATTTTAAAATGTAGTTTTGAACTATTTGAGCAAGTAGGTAGCTTAAGTTGGGGTATCCCACCGCACTGATCATTCTTTCATGTGAATGAAATAGCAATGATATTACTAAATATTACATTCCTCCTTTCGAAACCTCACCATGAAAATGATTAAAAGATATATTCAAGCTGCTGAGTAATGAAAGATCTTCTAGTTCATGTGGGATTGTACCTAGCAACTTATTGTTGGAGAGATCTAAGCTTTGAAGGGATTTTAAGGAACCAAATGATAGAGGGATACTTCCTTGGAAGAAGTTTCCACTTACATTAAGATATGTGAACCCTATGCATTCTCTAGGTTCTATTGGAATATCACTAGAGAACTTATTTTCACCAAGATTTTGTTCCACTAATTGCTTCAAGTTGCCAATATCATAAGGGAAGGGACTAGCAAAGGAATTGGAAGACATGTCAAGAAATATCATGTCTTCTAATTGACCAAATGTTTCGTTAGGTGTAATACCCACTCAAGTTATTTTGGTTAAGGTGTATACGCTGCATACACTTGTAATATTTGAGAATAAGTGGAATGGTTCCTTCAAAATTATTATTATCAAACAATTCAATATGAAACAACTTAGTCTAAGATTTCCAAAGATGCCAAGATTTTTTCACAAATTGGTTTTTATCCAAGTATAGATTTTCAAGATTTTCAAGCTTTCTAATTGAACGTGGAATTGTGCCTTGAAGAAGGTTGCCACTAATTTCAATGTACATTAAGCCAACTAGGTTCCCAATCTCATTACGCATGCTTCCAAAGACATGGTTGTTGGATAGGGAGGCGCAGTGGAAGATTAAAATTTTAAATCCCTATCTCGATATGGACCAAACAAACTCATTTAAATCAAAGTAGATAGAAAAGTTACCTTTTGAATTTTGAATTCTCACATGCATTCTCTTCAAAAGTTTGAATCTCAAGAGCTGACAAATGTAGATCTGCTCCCTCTACCGGTATCCACACAAACATATCTCTAACTCGAACAGTATGCTAGTGCTCCCAATGTTCGTTCTTCTTTGAATGTTGGTTTACTTTTCTTCAGGGTGTTTCGTAACTCTCAAAATATTTGACTGTCAAAACTCTTTTAACTCTCTCTCATGAGTACACCCCCTCCTATATCACACACACACACACACACACACACACACACATATATATATATAATATATATATATATATTAGGGTTTTTTTTGTCTTCTTTTAATAAGCCAATGAAAATTTAATTAAATTTATCTCATAAATTTAATCCATGATATCATATCTAATTTAAATTTATCTTATAAATTCAAATTATAAAACTGACATGATATTCTCTCATATCATGTTAGTTATTAAATTTTATCTATCACATAAAATTAAATTTAAAACTAACACAATATAATATATATATATATATCAGATATACATATTATATTATACATATATGTATACAAGAAATTACACATATATGCATATATATATATATATTTCAAATAAATATTCAAATATATATATATATATATATAATTTATTCTTCTTATATTACATTCAATGAATCTAGACATATTCTAGACGTAATAAACTTGGACATTATAGCTCGAGTTGGGATGTTTTTGTGTGTGACCCTGTAGGCCTATATAAAATTGGCAGTAGATTAATTATGCTATTAGCCCATAAGTCACAAAGTGGTCTTTTGTAAAACATTGCAACTACCCAATTCATTTGGGGATCGATGATCCGATGCAACCTATCATATAATCGTATCACATCCCTTTTGTCACATGATATTTTGGTTAAGTGTGAGACATGAAATTGTCATTCTCCTTTACCTGACCAATACTTTCTTAATCTTTGAGTAGACTGACATAACAATGGAAAAAAAAATTTTATTGTAGTATGGCCATACATTTTCTCAATCTTACTCATCGAGAGGCCCAGTAATATCTCTCAATTAATGTGAGAGACAAATTCTATCTTGACTACTCATATTTCTATATACATGAATATCACAAAACTCAATCATAGCATTTATGATCACCAAGTCAAAGGTGACTTTTGGCTGGGTCAAAGTTCAGTAATCATCATGTAGGAATCCATGATTATTTTAGGTCAAAGGGCTTAACAATATGGTTATATATGAGATAAGTTTATGACTTGTACCATGTAGCTTTCTCCTAGCTGGTCAGTCTAGCACCTTGTACTCTTTTAAGTGCCTATGACTTTGATTTATATCTCTATAATTAATCAAAACCATATTAGTCTTATTTCATCTGTAATCCCATATAGATGACTAACCAAAGACATTTAGGACAATCACTATAATTTGTCCAAAGATACAGTTATCATAATAGACATGCAATTAGTATGATAACAAAAGAAAAATTTTATAAATAATAATGTTTATGGTACAATGATTGACCCGTTATAAGAAAGCACATCTTCTCACCAAGAAATAAAAATCAATTATGGCACAAAATGTAATACTAAACTAAACTAAATGTGAAAAGTTGGAATTTTTCTATCCAAATGTTTTGTGTGTGTGTGTGTGTGTGTGTGTGTTATGACACTAAAGGAACCTCCAAAATATCAAGATGGGAACTTTTTGTAAAGTTGAAGATAATAAAACATAAGGAATGAGAAGTGACTATTTGAGAACAAAAGAAAAAAGAAACGTGCAAATGCAGTGGAAGGACACCATGATTTAATTAACTTAAAATTTCAAGGCTTCAATTTATAGATTCTTCCTCTTTTATTTTATATTAATTATCAAGTCCAACTTTATTTAATTGAGGACTTCCCACATTGTCTTAAATCCATTTATACTTGAAAATATTGTATTTTGGTGGTTTAAATGACTCAAGTATGCAACTATCTGGAAAAACAATATAAGCTATAAAATAGCCCCGTTTGTCATTGAAGGAGATGCTTCTCTCCCTGAACATATAGGTGGACAAACAACTCGATCTTGTCAACTTCCGGCTCCTCCCCTAATGCTTCAATGTTGCCAAAAGAAACAGTTAATCATCCAGCAAACATTTGCAATGTGTGTGGCTTATATATCATCATTGTTGTTGTCTTATTTATCCTAAAGAAGCATACCCCTTTTTCCATTACTCACGTGCCGATAGAATTCGAGTTTCACGGATTGCATGAAATTTTCTAATAGTTGCTTTGTTGGAGATAACAACAATTTGTCTGCTAAAGACGAACATTTTTGTCATATTTTACTTATATGAATTAATAGTTCTTGCATATGAGTGGTTGTGTTTCTCTTGTAGGAAGTAGAAATTTAAACCAAGAAAATGGAAGAGGGACATAAACTACGAGTTATTACAATTATAAGGTGTACTGTAGCGCATGTCATTGTCAAGCAGGGGATAATAATTTTTAGCCACTGAGGTCTTCATACATGCAGCAGGTGCTTGGTTATGTTGCATCCATGTTTGAGATTTTTAAATAGCTTGCTGAACAATATCAACACCAACAAGCCTTCTCTCACTAAATGAGATTCACTACATGGATTGTATATCACCACTGTGCTATATCCAAAGTCCTTCAAAAGTAAACAAAATCAGAACAAGAGGTTATAGTCTTATAGATTGCTCCAGCAGTTCTTGTACCGCTTTCATATGTGAGGAGCCAAATTTGGTTATTTACAAGATGCCAATTATTAACGCTGGTAATACCGAGTAATTAACCCCACAAAATAAAGAGGACAATGATAGAAGATTATGAGGATGTTAAAATACAAGCAAAAGTGCTTCATATTGATTCAATAAATTATATCAACCCTGGCAATGGACTAGCAGTGAAATTAGTATTTTTCTTTAATATTTGGATGTAAGTATCAATGTTCCACAGCTATAGTAGATATGAATATATAGTAGCTTTTTCTGGACCGAAAATGCCCTCTTGCTTCTTTCCTTCATGACCACCCTGTGCATGACTTGAACAGTAAATTACCAAAA